CCAATTTAAGACTCTGAAGGGGTCCACACAAGTTTCTTTTACCCCTTTAAGAGGTGTTTATAAATTTCAACCAGGAGAGGGAATATTCTCTCTCCTTGTGTCTGATATTCAGTGCTGAGTTCTCCATGTAGAGTTAAGGAGAAGATTGATTGCTTGTCAGGTATTTGCATACCACGTATAATTTCTGTATATGTCTTGTATATAAACCACTGCTAAATGTCTAAGTATCTGTGTGCTGTGTTTTGCTCCTGGGTTGTCTTCTAATAGTAGTCACACTGCAAACGCTCTGACACATGCCCTCCACAGTTTACTGCCATCATGTTTGAAATATCTCCTCTCTGCTGAAAGAAAGGAGAAATATCTCCTTTCTTTCAGCAGAGACTGTAAGGAAGGATTCTCCTCTAAACTTTCTATTGAAAAAAATCTTTAGAGGAGCTGTTCCAATGCGGTAAGTATGTCCTCCCAAGTTAACAATGCAAACTTTCCAAAACATGTTTACATTTGCTGCTTTTTTGGGGGATACTTGGCTTGGCATGAAAGTGACCATTGGGGTTCCCTTCATGGATGAAGTGCTTCATTGCTCCAATGCCTGGATTTTTTGGAATGCTGGGAGGTTGTTTTTCTGGGATGCTGGTTGACTGGTGTGATACTTCTTCATCACTAACTTCGATAAAATACTAAACTGAGCAGGGCATGCTAACCTAAGGACAAGGCACAGGATCATTCTACTGAGCCCCACCCAGAAATGGATGGGACCAGTGGTGAAATCCATTTTTTTTACTACTGGTTCTGTGGACGTGGCTTGGTGGGCGTGGCAGGGGAAGGATACTGCAAAATCCTCATTCCCTCGCCATTCCTGGGGAAAGGATATAGCAAAATCTCCATTCCCACCCCACTCTGAGGCCAGCCAGAGGTGGTATTTGCCGGTTCTCCAAACTACTCAAAATTTCCGCTAACGGTTCTCCAGAACCTGTCAGAACCTGCTGGATTTCATCCCAGATGGGATTCAGAACAATGACCCTTGTCCCTTTGGAGCAGCAAAACTTCATTTTCTCTGAGATGCCAGGAGGCTTGGCCCAGATAGTTGGCGAACCTTTCCCTCTGGAAAGGTCTCCCTCATCCTTAAAAGTATTTGATTCTATTAGAATTGTGGCTTGATAGTAATATTGCATTACTATAGTAATAGTTCATTAGCAGAAGCAGAAGAAGCAGTTTGGCTACAGCGAAAGGGAATGGCACATAGAAAGTGGCACTGTAATCAAAAAAATAAGATGCTTAGATAGTGAAGAATGTTAGCACCCACCTCTCTTAGAAGAATGAAATACTTTAGGAAATATTAAAAAGGCAGAATATTATATTTCCCCTAAAAGAGAAACAGAAATCTTAAGGGAGACAGAAACTCAGCTCCCTGCCACTCCCTGCCCGTAGCAGTTATTTGGTGCCCATTGAGGACTGGGTCAGCCTATCTACAAAAGACCTCAGCTCCAGGGTGATGGGATTAAGATATGGCCCTCCAGGACATAATAGAATTATCTATCAGCAGAGCTCACTACATGGCACAACCAAGCCCCTTCATTACATCAGCCCAAGGTTCAACCAACCATAATTCAGACAACCTCAGCTGTGACCCCTGCATAGCCCCCTGGGAGTCTAATAGCCAATAGAATACATGCCTCTGCCACAGGAACAGGAAGCTCAAGTTCAAAGCCAAGAGAGGGTATAAATAACCCTCGCTCTCCACTCCATGTGGTCAGCTATCCAGAATCACATGTGTTTGGTGGTTCTGCTTCACCATTAAACCGTTTTTCCAAGCAGCCTCCATGTTTCCAGTGTCTTTCTCTCCACTTGGAACTGAATCCAGATGGATATTTCTTCCAACAATAGGCACCTTGCTTCCCATTCTCTTAAGCCTCCAATGACTTTAACAGATCCCAGTTTTGCAAGAATGTTGAAGCAAGGTTTGATCTGGGCAGTCAGGAATAGAAATAGAAATAGAAATAGGAATAAAAATAAGAATAGAGTAGAAAGTAAAACTTTATTGTTACTTTAAATGTACACTAATCAGCATATATTAAAAATAAATTTCATTGCATTCAGTTCTTAAAAGATAACCATTATACATATACCCCCGCACACACACATATATGACACAAAGAAACATCACAGTTTAATTCGAATGTATACATACACATGGCGAGAAAAAGGAATCCTGCAAGATTACAAGACGGATGGCATAAGGAACAAACTGTTACAGAATCTAGTAGTCCTGCTGTAGCTACTTCAAAATCTCCTCCCAGAGAGGAGCAACAGAAACTGACCGTAAAGTGGATGTGTGGTGTCTCTAACAATGCTTCAAGCTCTAAGCACATAGCGCTTATAAGCAGTATCCTGAATAACGGGAAGCAAGCTTCCTATAATCTTCTCGGCTGTCCTTACCACTCTCTGTATGGATTTTCTATCTAAGGCACTGCTATCACCAAACCAAACAGTGATGCAATTTGTTAAAACGCTCTCAATTGTGCCTCTGTAAAAAGTGGTCAAGACAGAAGAAAGATGTGCTCTCCACATCCGACACAGGAAATGCAAATGCTGGTTTGCACTCTTTACTTAAAGATTGAAAGTAAAATCACTAAAATCTTCAAAGATTAAACCATGAATCGATATTGAGAGTATTGAGAGCTAAATTGTGCAGATAGAGTAGTATTTCATTTAGATGCAGTGCTTTGCAACCTAGGCAACTTGAAGATGTATGGATTTCAATTCCCAGAATTCCTCAGCCATTTTGAGAGTTGAAAACCATACATCTTCAAGCTGCCAAGGTTGAGTATCCATGATTTAGTGCAAGAGGGACTACTAAAAGTTGAGAGCCTTGAAACCACCCCATTTATAAGAGGACAAAATTCTGCCTGCCGATCAACAGAAGGGTAAGTATGAGCGAACAGGATGGCTCTCATTTGGGAAGCCTATTGACAGGCTTAACTCCAAGAATACATGAGAACAGCTCTCTTATTAGGTCTGTGCACCTATTCGTTTACCGCTGATTTGCCATTTAATCCTGGCAAGTCTTGTGTTGTGCCTGGAAGCTGAGCAGCTTTGCCGATAAGTCTTCGAAGACGTAATCCCAGAATTGCCAAATATAAAGAGACCTGTGGGGTCTATGACAATTCGCCACGGGAGAAATTGCCAAGGGACAGCTCAATGCGAGACAAGAGTTACACTAATATCAAAGAAACGGTGGAACAGAACCATTAAAGAAAGGATGCATAAGGAGGGACAGGATGAAAGGTGAATGGCAAATATTAAATTAATTTTTATCTATTTTAAATAATTAAATAGAATTGTTAAATTGTCCCACGGCGAGTTGGCTGTGGGAAGTTGTCCCATTCCCTGTGAGCCTCTCCTTCCCCCTCTTGGACCACTTGCTTTCTAGAGAACAGCAAAAGGCCGTCCAGTGGCAAATGCCAGTGTAACTTAAACTCAACAAGGTTAGCTAGAACTTATGGGGAACATTCTGTGCTGCTGCTGCTGCTGAATCAGCAAAGTGTCAGCGTCTATCTTGCTTAGGGTTACCACTTGCTTTTGTGGGGGGGGGAGTGACCTTTTGTGCTGCATTCTGCCAATAGCTTTGACACTTCTGGTCCATGAGGTCAGTGGTTATGGAGACAGAGGCCAAGGCTCTGGCCAGGTTATCTAGGACTACTTCTGTCCTGTGATGGAGAGAAGATGCTTGCTTGTGTGTCTCCTGAGCTGGGGTGAGGCAGTCAGTTGGATCTGGGAGGCAGTCAACACCTCATTGAGGGAGGGGTGTTTCTTGAGACTGTAACGTGCTCCCCTTCTTCCCTCCCTGAATCCAGCTTTGTAAGGCAACTTTTATAGCAATAGCACTTAGACTTATATACCACTTCACAGGGCTTCACAGCCCTCTCTAAGCGGTTTACAGAGTCAGCCTATTGCCCCCAACAATCTGGATCCTCATTTTATCCACCTCGGAAGGATGGAAGTCTGAGTCAAACCTTGAGCCTGTGAGGATCGAACTCCTGGCATTGGGCAGAATTAGCCTGCAGTACTGCATTCTAACCACTGTGCCACCTTGGCTCTAATCCCATCTCTCACCATCTCTCTCTTTTTCTCTCTCTCTCTTTTTTTAGGGAAGATCGTTCAGGTGATGGGAAAACAATTTCAAATAAGTCAAGCCGTCCCTGGACTGGAGGGTGAATCCTTTGCAGGCAGGAGCGAACAAGCCAAAATGGGGGAGAGGCTCAGGTGCCAATCAATCAATCAATCAATCAGAATCAAAATAGAGCTGGAAGGGACCTTGGAGATCTTCTAGTCCAACCCCTACTCAAACAGAAGACCCTATCCCATTTCAGACAAACTTTGCTCCAGTCTCTTCTTTAAAGCCTCCAGGTGATGGTAGTAGCACCCACAACTTCAAGAGGCAAGTCGTTCCACGGGTTAATTCGTCCTCACTGTTCGGAAGTTTCTCCTTCGTTCCAGTTTCTGCTTCATTTTATTCCTTGATTTCAGCATTAGGGGCAGGGAAAAAAATCAGAGCTGAGGCCAAACTTCGCATAGAAGCTTTCCGTGGCCGGCTAATTTTACTCGGAACCATCCGAGCCGCGCGGCAAGGCGAGGAGCTGCCATCGATCCCGCCGCTGATGCGGGACGCCGGTGCAGCGGAGGGTGGTTCTCCTCCCCACCAGTCTTAAGACCTGCCTCCCGGCTGGCGTTAGAAGAAACCAGGCCGCCTCAGGTCCGACCTCCGCGGAGGAGAGCCGGGCCAGGCGCACGCGTCGCCGCCGCCGCCGCCGCCAAGAAGCCTTCCCGGGGAGGCAGGAAGGCGCGGACGCTTATCTCTGGCGGCGGGCGGGCGGGCTGCCAGCTCACTCCAGCCGGGGCCGGGCGGCTCCCTCTAGAGGCAGCCGCCGCGGGTGAGCCGGGTGTCGGGTTGCCCGGAAGCGCCTCCAGCTCTGCACGCCGCTCGCTCGCTCGCCTGCCTGCCTGAGGGGAAGAAATCTTGGCCGGGCGAGGCCGCGCAGCTTCTTCTCCTTCTTCTTTTTCTTCTTCTTCTTCTTCTTCTTTTCTCCCGGCGGGGGGGTCGATGGAGGCGCTTCCCTCGCGGGACGAGAAGGCGAACCCTTCGCGGGATGCCAACTTCTGCTCGCGGCTTTTCTTCTGGTGAGTCCTTTCTCCCCCACCGCGCGCGCCCCCTCAAACCTTCCGCCAGCCTCGGCTTTCCTCCCGGATCAGCCGAGAGCTCTTCCCGCGAATGAATGAGGCAGCCCCCGACTGAGGAAGGCTCGTTCCGCCCGTTATTTTGAGGGGGTCAAGGAAAGTGCTTTCGCCGGCCGGGGGTTAAAGAAAAGAAACAAAGATGCGAAGCTTCGGAGACAGGTGCAGGCGAGTCTCGGGCGGGCGCTCGGCTTCGGGGAGAGCGTCGCTGAGATCGACTCGCGGTTAGAAGCGCGTCTGAATGCGCGCAGGAGGGGGACAACGAGCGGGTGGGAAAACCCGACCCCCCACAAACACTTTTTACCACTTTGGGGCTACAGGTAGTCCTCGATTTACGAGCACAACCGAGCCCAAGCTTTCTGTTGTTAAGCGAGACGTTGGTGAAGTGAGTTTTTTGCCCCGTGTTACGACTTTTCTTTCCGCGGTCAGTGGGTGGTTGTGGATAAATGAGTGAATTAAGTGAATCTGGCTTGCCCATTGATTTTGCTTTAATCCCACCAACCCAGTGATGAAATCCAATTTTTTTTTTTACTACCGGTTCTGTGGGTGTGGCTTGGTGGGCGTGGCAGGGGAAGGGTACTGCGAAATCTCCATTCCCACCCCACTCCAGGGGAAGGAAACTGCAAAATCCCCATTCCCACCCCGCTCCAGGGAAAGGATACTGCAAAATCCCCATTCCCTCCCCAATCCTGGGGGAAGGATATTGCAAATTCTCCATTCCCACCCCACTCTGGGGCCAGCCAGAGGTGGTATTTGCCGGTTCTCCGAACGGCTCAAAATTTCCTCTACCGGTTCTCCAGAACCTGTCAGAACCTGCTGGATTTCACCTCTGCACCAACCTCTCAGAAATGTGGGTCTATAAGTCGTATTTCCCTGGATATTCTCACACAGGTAGACCAGTGGTGGGTTTCAAATTTTTTTACTACCGGTTCTGTGGACGTGGCATGGCTTGGTGGGCATGGCAGGGGAAGGATACTATAAAATCTCCATTCCCACCCCACTCCAGGGGAAGGTTACTGCAAAATCCCCATTTCTTCCCGATCAGCTGGGACTCGGGAGGTAGAGAATAGATGGGGGCAGGGCCAATCAGATTTTTTACTGCCGGTTCTCCGAACTACTCCAAATTTCTGCTACCGGTTCTCCAGAACTGGTTAGAACCTGCTGAAACCCACCTCTGAGGTAGACCCTTGACGTACCACCATAATTGAGCCAAACATTTCTGTTGCTAAGTGAAACATTGGTTAAGTGAGTTTTGCCTCATTTTATGACTTTCTGTGCCACATTTGTTAAGTGAATCACTGCAGTGGATAAGTTAGTAACCTGGTTGTTAAGTGAATCTGGCTTCCCTCATTGACTTTGCTCGGCAAAAGGGGATCATATAACCATGGGACACAGCCACAGTCATCAATATGAACCAGTGGCCAAGCATCTGAATTTTGGTCAGATGTTCATAGGGATGCTGGAACGGTCCTAACTGTGAAAAAACAGTCATGTCACTTTTTTGAGTGGCATTGTAACTTTGAATGGTCACTAAATGAACTGCTGTAAGTCGAGGACTACCTGTACTTCTTAATGCTTCTTAATACTTCTTAAGGTAGGCTTACAGCAGTGACCATTCAAAGTTACAACAAAGGTTGAAAAATGGGACTTAGGACCAATTTTGCAAAGTTGCGAGCTTTGCAGCATCTCTATGATCATGTGACCAAAATCCAGATGCTTGGCAACTGGTTCATATTTATGACCGCCACAGAGTCGTGGGACCCCCTTTTGCCATTTTCTGACCAGCAAACTCAATGGGGAAACCAGATTCACTTAGCAACTGGGTTACTAACTGATCAGCTGCAGTGATTTGGTTAACAATTGTGGGGAGAATTGTCGTAAAATGGGGCAAAACTCAATGCCTCACTTAACAACAGAAATCTTGGGCTGAATTGTGGTTGTAGGTCGAAGGACTACCTGCATAGGATTTCTCCAACCCTGGAGTAGTACAGCGATATATATGGCAGCCCCCCTTCCCTCCCCATAGACAGAATATTTTGGTTTCAGGTAGCCAAATATGCTATTTAGTTTTACTGCTCTAATATTTCGAGTGGTTTGATCACAGCGGTTCTCAAATGTTGTTCAGCCACGTGGGTGCAGGTGCATCTGTGGAGGGGAGGTCAAAAAAGTGAAGATGGCAGCTGTGACCATGTGATTAAAGCCCCATGCCATCGTCATACATGTAAAAAGGGGGAAATAGCTAAGGACCAATCTGTGCAGCCAAAACAGGGTGCTGGGGCCATTCATGCCCCACGTGCCTCATTTTGGCTGGCAAAGTGCTGCAGGAGGCTGTCCAAGCTAAAAATGGGCCGCAGGGGAACCACGTGCGCCCCGTGTCCCGTTTTAGCCGGCAAAGTGCTGCAGGAGGTTTCCTTCCTGTCTCCCCCTCCCCACTGGCCCATGGAGGAGAACTACAGTGTTGATCCAGCCCTCGAAGAAATCCGGTTTGACACCCCTGAAAAAAAGTGACTTATGACCATTTTTCACACTTATGACCATTGTGACATCCCCATGGTCACATGGATGCTTGACAGCTGGTTCATATTTATGACGATTGCAGTGTCCCGGGGTCATGTGACCATCTTTTTACGACCGTTTGATAAGCAAAGTCAATGGGGATGCCAGATTCACTTAAAAACTGCATTACTAATTTAAGAACTGCAGTGATTCACTTAACAAATGTGACAAGAGAAGTCATAAAAGGGGGCAAAACTCAATTAACAAATTTCTCACTTAGCAATTAGCAATTGTGTTCGTAAGTTGAGGACTACCTGTATTATGGTCAGTCTACAATCAGCCATTTCTTCTGATTAAGCACTGTGCCATCTCACATTCTGGTTGTGTGTATTTCTGTTTGGAAGAAAATTATACTTTGTAGCAATTTCTACTTAGTAAGAGCATAAAATTTCAGTTAATGACTGAAGGTGGTATTGTCCTGTGACATAGAAAATCAATGTTTATAATATTTCTTTGGGAATCATTCACATTCATTACTTGATTTTCTTACACAACGCTGAGATATTTCAGCACCCTTTAGAAATAGCATGTCATTTTTGAAAGTCAGAATGATGCTTGCAGAATGATAATTATTCTTCTGTGTTTAGTTTCCTTCACTTAAGCAAGGTTATGTTTTTCAACTCCAAGAAATCTTGGAGGAATTTGAAACTTCAAACCATTCAAATCTGAGTTTAGGTCTGGAACAAAATAAAATCTCATCGGGTAGATTTTTAATCTAAAAATCATCAGAAGCAAAGTGGAATACCTAAAAGTTAATACAATCCTCTTAAACCACGTAACTATGTAACTATGATTATGACCTGTGACCTATTACTTGTGAGCTTCTGCACCGGAAACAAATTCCTTGTGTGTGTGATCACACTTGGCCAATAAAGAATTCTGTTCTGTTCTGTTCTGTCCTGTCCTGTCCTGTCCTATCCTATCCTATCCTATCCTATCCTATCCTATCCTATCCTATCCTATCCTATCCTATCCTATCCTATCCTATCCTATCCTATCCTATCCTATCCTACCCTACCCTACCCTATTCAATTCTACTCTATTCTACCCTACCCTACCCTACCCTACCCTACCCTTCCCTTCCCTTCCCTTCCCTTCCCTTCCCTTCCCTTCCCTTCCTATACCCATTTCCATTTCCATTTCCATTCCCATTCTAGCCATGCCACCTCATGTAGCTTAGTTACATCAATAAGTTTGTTTAAACTACAAGTACTCCTTGCTTATCAAAAGTAATTGGGACTGGGAATTTTATCACTAAGTGATTGGATAGTAAAGAACGATATCAAAGTGACTGCACTAACTTAATGATGGCAATTCTGGTAGCCCCAGTTGTTGTTGGAGTAATCCTGCAGAGTTGCAGCATCTACTGGTCATTGTTTGCCATTTGTGACCTCCTCCTGGCTTTCCCATTGACTTTTCTTGCTGGACACAGCAGCTAAGATTGCAAATCATGATTACATGACCGTGGGACATTACAATGTTGTAATTGCCAGTTAGTTGCTGTGTGCCCAAATCATAATTACATGACTTTGGGACCAGGGGTGAAATCCACATTTTTTCCCTACCGGTTCTGTGGGCGTGGCTTGGTGGGTGTGGCAGGGGAAGGATATTGCAAAATCTCCCCACCCCACTCCAGGGGAAGGATACTGCAAAATCTCCATTCCCACCCCATTCTGGGGCCAGCCAGAGGCGGTATTTGCCGGTTCTCCAAACTACTCAAAATTTCCGCTACCGGTTCTCCAGAACCTGTTAGAACCTGCTGGATTTCACCCCTGTTCGGGGCCCTTTAATGATTGCAATGGTCACTGAACAATTGGTCTAACTTTGAATGCTGAATGAGCAGTCATTAAACAAGGTCTATCTCAATACGCTCTCACAGAGAGGGCCTCCTCAGGGTGCCGTCGGTCAGGCAATGTCGGCTGGCGGCCCCCAGGGGGAGAGCCTTCTCTGTGGGGGCACCCGCCCTGTGGAACGAGCTTCCTCCTGGAATACAACTGATCCTGGACCTCCGTACCTTCCGTAAGGCCCTGAAGACTTATTTATTCCACCAAGCCGGCCTAGCCTAAATGATTCTTAATTGGGATTTAAAATTTTATAAACTTGGGGGTTTTAAATTGGGAAGCCAATGATTTAATTCTTTTTAATTATCTTAACTTTTGTATTGTATGTATTTTTAATTTTGACTGTTCACCGCCCTGAGTCCCTTCTGGGAGAAGGGCGGTATACAAATTAAATAAATAAATAAATAAATAAATATACTGAATGTCAGAAGCTGTGTGAGTGAGTGCAGAACTCCTGGTTTGTTGTACCACCTTTCCTCTTTTATTTGGGCACCCGCAGTCTGCAACATTTCTCTGTCCGGCTGCAGTTATACAGGCATTGCTTTTCCT